AGTCGTTTGACCCTCACACTATTAGTTTTATTCCAACAATTTTTACATTAAACTTTCAAATATTGACAAATATTATCAAATGTTGACATATTGGATTTAATTTTTTCAAAATAACAATGATTGACATAAAAATAATCATTTGAAATTAAATATGTTAGAATTAAAGGACTAAAAAGATATTTACAAGATTAAATAACCAAATTGAAACCTTATATAAGTTAAGGACTAAAAGTATACTTCAGCCTGGTTATTTTTCTCTTGTTTGACCAACACCAAAAACACTCTAAAAGACAGAATATATGCAAATTTATTTAATTATTTAATTACTTGACTGCAAATATATATAATTTGACGACAAGCCATATTCTATTAGATGGGTTAGCTACATGGCTTTTTTAATTATCAATATCTATATGAGTTTCAACAGAGTATTATGTTTCCTACCAAGAGCCTAATACAATCCTCCTCCTTTATCTAGGCTTAATTACAATAAATAATCAACTAGTTCGAAAAGAAGAAAAATATGCCAACCTCCTAAGCATATAGATGCACAGATTGGTACAGCTCAAAATTCAATATAGGAGACGACACCAGGCAATAGTTCAAAGCTATATAGATTGACAGATGAAAGTCCATGAGTGCGTGTTTCCTTTTTTAGTAGATATACAAACGCATAGCAAATTAGCTGTCCACAAAAGTAATGCCTCCAAGTGATGCTTTTATATGGCTGTACAAGCTAGAGACAAGAAACAGAAATTTTGATTCCTCCTGTATCAGCTCAACAGATATTCATTTTTTTTATAAAAAGAAAAAAATAATAAGAATGCCATTTGTTTACTAGTCGTGCACGGAAGGGCTCAAACTTTCTAAGACAAATGAAGCCAAGAGTAGCTATCAGAAACAAAGCACCTCCCTATTGGTATGCAAAGCACATAAAGCATTTTAGTTAGCTTTCAAATGCTACATAAGAATATGGCTCATTGATGTGCAAAACCTATGCAATGGACCCCAATTTCTTGAGATATTTAAAATCTTATGGTCCCCTACCCACTTTAATCTCGAATTTACTGCTCCAGTAATATGCAGACTCCCATACTGATCCATTCGAGATGTATTGGCTTTTCAAGAGGAACTTCACATTGATTTGGCTCGGTTACATAGCTTGGATATCCCTGTACAGAGCAGACACAAAACAGAGCTTACATCATGGAACAACCGCTTGATTCAAACCAACCCAAATGCATGTTTTGCTGCATCAAGGGTATTAGAGAGAAGCATTGATATTGTTACTGGTCCCAAACCTCCGGGCACCGGAGTAAGGGCTGATGCCACCTTTGATTGCCTCCTCATAGCAAACATCTCCTATGGTACGAAAGCCTTCTTTGTCAGGATTCTGCAAGTTATATTAAGTACATGAATGAATAGAAAGCCAAGGAAATTTATCTTATCTCTTCGTAGCAAGATTCTCTTTTTTCTTTTTTTCTTTTTGTTTTTTGTTTTGGTCCCTTTGTTGTGATAACCATTGGGTTTTTTAACATTACAAGTGAATCTAAATTGCTCAAATGTCGGGCCCCAAATGGAGGATAGCTCTCTCATTATACTTTTATCTTTCCTTTTTTTTTTTTTTTTTTTTGCGCTAACCATAATATTTAAAGTTTAAATCCTACTTAAAGAAGCATCGTCCCTCTTACTCAACCCAAAAGCACGATTTCCCTCTTATAATTCTTCATCTTTCTTCTCTTTTGAAAGCCAGCAAGCAGATTTTGGTCATGTTTGGCAAGTGTACAGTTTTATATAACCTGAGGCCCCTTCAAGGCCTACGACTAATGGAAGTTCTCTTAGTTAACCTGTTCTATTTCCAGGTCCTTTCATTTTTTTTCTTTTTTCATTATGCCCTACTCCATTTTAGTTTATAGGGATGCTACCTTTTGTAGAAGTTAGAGCATAGTCAACTATCATAGCAACTCGAGATGAATTTTACTAAGCGAGCACTCGGTCAAGGAAAGGAGGACAGAAATTCTGAAGTTTTATTAACTATCCCTCATTTGTAATAAGGAACACTGTAGTTATTAAAAAAAGTGCTCAAATAAATAGTCAAATTACACATAAATGTTAGACTTATCCTCATTGTACATTATAACCGTATCTGAAACAACAACAAGAACAATCACGACAGTAAAAGAAAATGAACATTTGTAAAACCTAACATTAAACTGTGAAATTATAAGAACACAATAGAGGTAGGCATAGCCTACTCTCATGAAATTAAAACTTATACAAACACTTCTATAATTAAAAAAAAATCTCCAGAGGAAGTAAAAGTTATGGTGAAAGAGAGAAATTAGAATCCAAGGCTTCCTTTTGGCTGTAATTACTTCCATTTGCATCAATTTTCTGTTCTTTTTTTTTTTTCAAGACAAATTTGATAATTGATTGGAAATAGCCTTGCAATCTGACAGTTATAAAACTGAAATTGTTAATGCCTTTTTGCTCATTTAGCCTACCTGAAATGACAGAAAGTTTGTACCTTCACTTGATTTGTACCCATGTCAATCACAACTGCTCCTTGCTTTAACCAATTGCCACGAATTATATTGGGCATTCCAACATCTGCTACAACAATTTCAGCTTCAGAAGTTATCCGTTCTGGGTTCTCCGTGAATGCATGTATCATGCTTACTGTTGCATGGTGCCTCTACTTCAAAGACAATAAATTAGCAATGTGGCTACAGGAACATTATGCTCAGCAACAACATATGTACTCACCTGCAATAGCAACGAAGTGGGTAACCCAGCAATTTTACTTCTTCCAATTACAACTGCTCTTTTTCCACCAATTTCAACCCCATGTCTGAGCAACAACTCAATGCAGCCCTTGGAGGCACAAGGAATGAAGAATGGTTTTCTTCCCCTCATGGCAAGGTTTCCTATATTTAAGGGATGAAAGCCATCAACATCCTTTTCTGGACTCACAAAGTTGATAACATTTTCCTCGTCCAAATGCTGCATATTAATTTCAAATAACCAAGTCAATAATAATGACATCCACATTGAACCAAATAATCCCATCAATTGTTATTATCAGAATTTTCATACTCAAAATTCCTATGAGAGGCCAAAACAACTTATTCACAGTACTAGAACTGATTTAGATCAAGCGAAGCCTCCGAGTGCTCTGAATCAGGGCTGTAGATTAATAAGCACAGTAAATTCGTAAACAGTAAAAATGGAATTCAAATTACTTGAGGAAGAGGAAGTTGCACAATGATGCCATGTACAGCTGGGTCTTTGTTAAAACTGGCGACGACATCAAGCAGTTCTTTTTCTTCACAGTTTTCAGGCAACAGAGCCACCGATGTTGCAATGCCAACTTGCTCACAGGCTTTTAACTTAATGTGGATGAAGGTCTGAGAATCTCTTCTATCACCAACAAGAACCACAGCCAATTTAGGGGACTTCCCAATTATCCTTTTAATTCTGCCTATTTCTTCAGCCACCTTTTGTTTTACATCTTGGGCAACTGATTTACCTCCAAGAATTGCAGCATTAGACTTCGCCTCTTTTGCATTACAAAAAACAAAAAACAAAACCCATTAACAAAGGAGACCAAAGCAGAGCTCTAAAGAACACAAGAACCACGGCAATATGCTCATCCTTTTGCACGACAACTAACCCCAAAGAAACCGCCCCCCCCCCCCCAAAAAAAATAACTTAAGTGACCAAAACAGAGGATTACATGACAGTAGCGCAGTAATTTGATAAGTGGATACCTACAAACTCATAGTTGGGTTTCTCTGAGAAATGGGTATCAGAAGAAGTGTTCTTTTTGGGAACCCAAATATCAGGAAGGTCGGGGCCAAGAAGAGCACACGAAGATGGAAGAGACCAAGAATGAAACAGTGATTTTCTCAGGATTCTACGCCAACCCAGAGCAGCCCCAGAAGAGGCACGGGCTAGCATATTTGATGCTTTCCTTCGATTATTATTACAGGAAAAGATTATCTCGGGAATTAGGAGGTTGGGAAAGAAAGCCAGCCACTGAAGTGAAGAGCGCAACGATGGCAAGGTGGGCTAGCTTATTTGATTAAGCTTGATCCTACTTATCCGCCTTCGTTTGATGGACCGTCCTGAAAAGATAATATGGTTGAGAATTTGGACTTCGGATCCGAGCGAGTCAAATGCACCTGTCATACCCAACCATTTCCATGTCAAGTGCACAAGTTGTCCAGCAAAAAGGTTCATTTGAGAGATTTTTATTGTTCACTGATTCAACACTAAATATTTGCACCTTTTCAAGGCAGTTTATATTGATTTTTCACTTGCAAGCAGAGCATTTAAAAATGCAACCATCGTTACACTGAGGCATTTGTTCAAAAGTTGGTAGTTAAAATCATAACCTAATCATAATCAAACTGATCATAGAGAGTGGATTACTTTATTAAACTTACCAAGATACTAACCATATACTGATACTAAATTTCCATACTATGTTTGTAAGGAATTAAAATGCCAGCATTTTTTTGTTTAAAAAACTAACAATATTAGAATTAAAAATTGAAAAATATCTTATAAAATAAAAGCATCAAGCTGAATCCTTTACAAAGTTAGGTGAATAAAGGCACGTTTTTTACCTAATAGTTTTAATAATAAAATAATATAAATTAATTTTATTTTTAAAATTTACTTATTATATTATGTGTACTATGTACATGTTTAATACAAAATATTACAGAAAATTGTATTTTTTTTTGGGAAAACATATCCATAGATTTTTACAAATTTACTCCATTTTGAATTAGGTCCCTATAGTTTACTTTATTTTAATTGAGCTCTTATAGTTTGATTAATTAATTTTTTTTAATTCCCAAAGGTTAAAATCATTAAAATTTTCTTTTAAACAAACAAAGTTAAGAACTTTTATATTTTTATTGAATGATTATATGATTTTAGAATTAATTACATAATTTTTATAACTCAAAATTTATATAATTAGTTTGTTTTCTAAATATTTTTCATACCTATAGAACTTTCATAAAAAATTAATAAACATCTAAATAGTAAATTAAATCAAATTTTATTTTTTTAATTTGGGCTAAAAATATTAAATTAAATTTTTTGTAAATTCCAATAGTATTTTTGTTTTGTGAAATTTAATAATTCATTATTAATTTTAACTTTAAGGGTTAACATATATAATAGATCAAAATATAAAATCTTGATTAAAACAAAATAAAATATAAGGACCTCATTTAAAATTGAGCAAAAATATAAGGACCTTCATATTAACTTTTTCTTACTTATTATGATTACAGTACTTTTTCTCAAAAGAGGATTGTTTTACTAATTTAAAAAGGACGGACTATAATAATAATTTAATTAAAATAATTAAATCAATTTTAATTGATTTTTATTTTATATTTTAATTAAAATAGTTATTGATTTTAATTCAAAAAATCTTTTTTATTTGAAAATAATTATTCGATTAAAAAACTTAAATATAATTAAATTTAAAACATTTTTAGGCTAACAAGATAAAAATCTTAAAATAAAAAATTACTCCCATTTACTGATAATAACAAAATAAACATATAAAAATCTTAAATGCATCAATATAATTTATACGGGCAACAAAATAAAAAATTAAAAAAAAAAACACCCCCAAACACACAGAGGCAGGGGAAGCAAAGGTGATAAGAAATATTTTAAGACTTATTTCATTTTGTTTGCAAAAAAAAACATGAAAATTAATTTTTTTATGTAAAAAATTGTTAAAAGTTAATTCCCAAAAGAAACCTTCCTGTAGTTTTTCTTATGAAGAAAACTAAAGAAGTTCAACTGTGCGAGCCAAACAAAGGAATTTTGCCTTTATTTCTGAAACAAGCTATCCTTCACATATCATTGAGGAAATAAACAAACTCATCGTTCGTTCATTCATCAACTTCCTCACATACATTTGTGAATCAGCCAAAAAAGGGATAGTCTCATTGATAAGAAAACAAACAAACCCAGAAAGCTAAGAAGGCATCATCATGCATCCACTATAAATATTCAAAGTTCATGCCCTTGAATGCAATTCACATAAAGTTAATTGCCATATTTTTCTGATACAAGAGATCATCAAACAAGAAGCAATGTCTTCTACACAAATGGATGGTTCCAATGTCCAACAACAATATGAAGATTTCAAGCCACAAATGGAAACCCAAGAAACTGCTGACGCTCATCTTCTTCTTATTCATCTTCCTGGTGCGTATCATTTTATCTTACATGATTGGCAAAGATACCAATCATTTCATTTTATAACAAATATTCGTGCATGAAACTATGTCTTGCATTGGTGCTCATCATCTTATATGAGATTTGGACCAAACAAGCAAATTTTAATTTTTAATTTTGTTTATTTTATGTTCATTAAAATAAAAATTAAATTTATTTAATAAATTTGTTTATCATTTATCTAAACAATCTAAATTTAATTTGGATAGTACAAATATAATATTAAAATTTTTATCATTTATTATGAACGGTTCAAATTTAAAATTGTTAGCTTGTAATTGTTTTCAAAAAATATTTCTTTTGGGAAGTGCAGATTATCTTAATTTTTAATATTATATTTACCAAAATAAAAATTACCATTAAGAAATTTATTATTAAATATGGATTGTTTAGAGTGCATCTACATAGTTGACTCTTAAAAATTATAAAAAAATTAATATTAAATTAAACCATTAGATTAAATCTATTATGTCCAGAATGGTAATAAATAGAATTATTAAAATTAAAATAAATTAAAAATTAAAAAATTTAATCTAAGAGCCTGTTTCGATAACCTCAAGAGCATATTCAAACTACATTTAAGATGTATTTTTATCAAATCTAACAAATAGTTATATTCTTAAGTGAACTTTTGTCAAATATAAATTAAAAATCAAACACACTAAATAATTTAGATCTTGTCAGAAACGATGAAGCTCATCGCTTAATGATCACCAAAGCCAGACTAGCAAGAAACCTACCATTCAAGTTTCTTGGAAAAATTAAAAGTATTGATTTAAAAGAAAATGTTGGAGAGCTCCTAAGCAAAATCTAAATATTTTTAAACATCTAGAAAATTTGTCTGTCTATTGATGGGACAAATTACTTGATTGAACTTAAGAAAAATAGCAATTAAATATCACTAGAGTAAATTTATATTAGTCAAAGATCTCTAATTGTCAAAATTTGAATATATAATTGTTAATTTGAGTTAATATTTTATCAACAAATATTTATTTGAGTTTTAAAAATGACTAATTTTAAATTAACAATAAGTTATTTGGATCTTTTTTCATCTAAATTTTGATAATAATTAGTATTTAAGTGATATAAATTTGTTTTAGCAGTCCTTCATTGCTATTTTCCCTTAAATTTACGTTATTGTTGTCTATATAGTTACTTCAAAAGATTAAAATAAGCATTTAAATTTTAGAAGTGGTGTATATTATTATAATAAAAATAGCAACAAATTGTCATTGCTTTTTAAAGTTACCTCCTATTAAACTTAATCTATTTTAATTATCTTTAATTTCTTTCTTATATGATCTATATAAAATAATATGGACATTTGTGAAAATGAAAAATTTAATATTATTGACTCCTTTTATTGTAAAATATCATATATTTTAGACTAACACTAATTAATAAAAAAATGTCTTATATTTTAGATAGAATGCAATATAGGGCCCATTTGTTAAAGATTAAAAAACAAGTGATTTTTAAGTAGTTTAGAGATTTTATAAAAAGAGATTTATTTTATAGCAATTTTATAAAAAAAATAGACATTATTTTATATTTGATTATAATAAAAAAATTGATTATTTTTATATTTTATGATACCTTCCTTGATTTTTTATAAAAATAATTTATTATTATATTATTTTAAAATTTTATGATATCTTCACATATCTCATCTCTTTAAAACATTCTCTTTCATTTACCACATTAGATTATTTTTAAAAGCTACTCAAAGTAATTTCTTAAAATAATCAGATATCTACTTTTTTTTTAGATTCTAATTATTTTTAAAAGTTTAAACTAACAACATAACAACTCATAAAATAATTTTTTTCAAAAAATAAGTGATTTTTTTATGAAATATGTTAAAATATAGTTGTTCATAAATTATAAATTATAAATAATTTAACTTGTTGACAATAACCCGTCGTTTTGCCCAAAAAAAAAAAAAAAGAACCCATCATTCAAGTTTCTTCTGGGAGAATTGATTTTTTTTTAAAAAAAAAAGGAGAAATAACATGACAAATCTAAGTATTTCTGTTTGGAAATGAGAGAGAGAGAACTAAGGAAACATTTTCAATGCTCAACAGGGTGGTCATCAACACGATAAAATTTAGATCATTCCGGTTGAATTATTTGGATGATTCGGATTTAAAATTTAAAATTTATTTTTTATTTTATATTTATTAAAATAAAAAAATTCTAAAAAATTAATTTTAATAAATTTGTTTATTATCAACAGGACAACCTAGATGTAATTTAGATTATTCAAATATAATATTAAATTTTTTTATAGTTTTATAAATTGATTACCCAAATTTATTTTAGACGGTCTAGATCTCATTAGAATGATGGTGTTTATCCTCCAATGAGCATTGAAGTTGGTTAGTTGGACCTGAGAGAGAAGAGGTTTGGTGGGTTTTTTATTTACAAACCAATATTAAAAACATTTTGGCTACTACATTTTTACACCATTAGACCCTTTTTTATTGTTAAAAAAAGGACATTATCCAGTAACTATATATGGAAAAGAGATATAATTAGACATAATTTTAATTAACTGAGGCAACTTTTAATTAAATTAACAATTTTTTTTGCACACAAACTACCAATAAATAATTTTTTCCTGCAGGTTTTACTAGACAAGAAGTTGGTGCAAACTATGAAGCAGCTTATAGGAGAATTAGGGTTTTTGGTGAAAAACTACTTGAAAATAATAAGCGTCAACGCTTCAGTGTAGAGTATATAGTTCCAGAAACTTGTGATGGTGATAGCCTTAAGGGAAAATTTGAAGACGGCGCAAAAATTACCATTACAATGCCAAAGAAACCTATTTCAATTATTGCCCCTAAAGGACCAGAACCAATTGAAGAACAAGAAGAATCCAAACAGGTCACTACTTCAAAATCTGCTTCTGAAGTTGAATCAGAAATGGATGAGAGTCAAAGAGAATTTGATGAGAAAAAAGATGAAAAAACACCAACCCCACCACCAGAAGAAGCCACTGAAGAATCTAAAATGCCCCAAAAAGATTCACAAGATGATCAAAAACATCTTGAGGATGATCAGAGGAAAGAGAGTGCTGCAACAGAAGATTCCTCAATCACAGAAAAAATCAAAGGTGATGTTAAGTTTTTACATTTAGTGTGGTTGAAAATTGTCTATATCATTTAGTTAGACATATAAGTTATACACACACCTAATTTAGGTTCTTTTTATTTTTTTCTTTTTACCTGGCTTTATACTTTTCAAGTCTCAAAGAGGTTTACCCTTTATTTTTATAAATCACTTAGATACTATACCAAGACTTTATCGATCTTTTTTATAAGTCACATATTAAAATTTTTTTTTATTTACTCTTTACATGAGTCACTTGTTCTTGGTTTTTTAACATTTGATGCATAATTTCAAAAATACCTTCCAGTAAATTCTAAACAGAAGAGCAATATTTTAATTTTCAAAAAAATTCTTCCCACATATCAAATCAATCTTTTTTAAATATAAAAATAAAATTAAAAATGATTTATTTTTAAGATAATTTTATTATTCTAACTCACTTTAGTTTTGGTGAGTTAGTTATAAGTCACTTGTAAAAAAAATCAAAAAGTGTATGTTTGTTGATTTTTTATTTTATTAAAATAGCTTAAGTCATTTGATTAAATATATCTTGAGTTTTATATATTTTTAATCTACTTCCTAATTATTAGGTAATGAAAAGCATGAGGAAAACCAAAAGACTTATGATGCAGGAAAAGAATCTGAGAAGAAGGATCATTATTTGGCAAGACAGAAAAGCAAGGAAGAAAAGGAAGAACAAGCCAGGGTTGCTGATAAAAGTTCCGGCTTTAAAAAGCAAGAGAAGAGGGAAGAGAAGGGAGAATTTCAGAATGATCAGTATTTGGCAAGAGAAAAAAGTAAGAAAGAAGAAAGAGAAGAATCTGCCATGGTTATTGCTAAAGAAAGCTCAGCCTTAAAAACCCTAGGGAAGAATTCAGAGGAAGAAGTTCGTCAGAAGGATCAGAGAAGAAAAGAATCTATAACAGAGAAGAAGGAAAAGAATAAAGAAATGGATGTTCCAACAAGTAAAGTCAACAATGGAAATACAGTAAATAATGAATCATCAATAGGGAAAGGAATCAGGGATATGGCCAACTCAGCTTCTCAAGCTGCAACAAGATTGAAAAACAAGTTCAGTGAAGAAGATAAACAGAAGCTCTTATGTGCAGGTGCAGCAATTCTGGTGGTGGTGGTAGGCATTTATGCTTCCTTCAAGCTCCGTTCCATGACAAGACAATAGATAAAATTACTTGCTATAAATTTCCTCTTTGATATGGTTCTGTACCAAAGTTTCATTATATTTCAACATATTGTAATTGTAATATAAACATGCCGACTTAAGTTAGAGTTTTATGTATTTTCTAGCACAGAACATGGTATTTATGAAAGTAACCAATAACCAATTATTTTAAAATTTTAAAAAGAAAGAAAGTAAGAATGGGAAAAGAATGCCCGTTAAGTCTCAAAAGATTAAATTAATAATACTTAAGTCATTGATAAAAAGGTTTTAAAGAATGAGATGAAATGTTGATTTAAAAAATTGTAAATTTAAAAGTTTTAATTGTAAATAAAACATTTAAGTTTCCAATGTAATTATCAAATTATAGGTGGTGTTCCTTTAGGTTTATTCCTCTAATCTGATTTATAAGTTACTTTCAACATATTTTATCAAAAAAATTAAAATAATAATTTAATAAGATGACTCATAAATATAACAAAAAAAAAAGATATTCTCTCTCCACCTTATAAATATGGCTAAAGAGAGTAATTGTTATTAATTCAATCTTTTATGATCTTATTAACTTTTTTTGAAAACCATAAAATAATTGTCAATGAGATAGTTAAACGAGTTAATTGTTATTCCTTTCAATTAAAAAAAGGGTTAATTATCATTCCTTGATCTAGTGAAGTAGGTGAAAATGTCTTATAATAAAGACTGGAAGAAGTATTTTAAAAGAGAGAATTAATCTTGAATTTTTTTAAAAAATAAGTTATAAATATGGAATTAAATAATGAGTAAAGTAGTAAATTTAGTCATATACTATTTTTCGAGGAGTATCTAGTAGTATAAACTATCATATGGTACAAAATAAATCATGAATTTTAAAAAATGGAGCACCCAATAGCCCGACATTAACTTTAGCTAACGAACATTATGTGGAGCCTACAATGACATGTGGTACGACACGAGCACTATACATCAGCATGGTAAAGGTGCAAATTTAATTACAAACTATTTTTTGAGGAGCACTAGGTAGTCTCTACTATAAAAAATGGACCATCCAACACATTTTCCTCTATTGTGACCAAACACCGTTTATTTTTATATTTGTAAGGCCCACAAAGCATTAATCTCTCCAATCTTTTTGCATTGGTTCTCAATATCAACTCAAAAAGAAGAGGTTCAAAAAGTTCTTATTTGAAAACATTTGACGATGCCAATGAAGTAGAAGCTTGATTTTACTATGCATGGGAGAAGCTTGATTCTAGCTTAATTTAATCATGAATTATTTCTTTTACTTTGTTAGTGTCGTCTTCGTGAATGTCTTCAGATAAAAACTCTTTAAAACTCTTCTTCTTGAGCTGAGATTGAGAACGAAGGAAAAAAGATTTGAGAAATTAATGCTTTGTAGACCTCATAAATATAAAAATAAACATTGTTTAATCAAAATTGAGGGGAAGATATTATATTTTTTTCTCTTTTTTTTATAGTAGAGGATACCCAGTGCTCCTTAAAAAATAGTTCGTGGCTAAATTTTCACCTTTACTATGTTGACGTGTCATGCCGCGTGTTATTATGGGCCCCACATAACATCTGTTAGCTAAAGTTAATGGCAAGCTACTGAATGCTCTGTTTTTAAAAGTTTGTGATTTATTTTACATCATCTGATATTTTAGGCCATTAAATGCTACTCGAAAAATAGTATATAACTAAATCTGTGCCTTTACCCTTAAATAATTATAAAATTTTAATTTTAAATAAAATATTTAAATTTTAAAATAATTCTTAATTTACAATTAAAATTCTAATTTGAATCAATATTTCAAATTCATCTTTAAAATTTTTTGTCAAGAACCTGACTCTTATTAATTTCTTCTAAATAATTTTTGCAAATAAAAAGATTAAGGTGGAAACTATTTAATTGGTGACTAAATCGTCTTACATTGAATAATGAGAAAATGATAATAAAATCTTTTTAAATTATATAAATAATAAATTTGTCCCCCAAAGTGCTATAATATCAATGAAGTTTTTAGGGATCTATTTGTCAATAATTTTTTTTTAGAGAAAAGACTATTTTATCTTTATTGATAAATTGTGATTTCTTATTTAATTCTTGCGATTCTTTGAAGAAAAGTTGTGATTCTTTAAATAAAAGTTGTGAATGAATTTTATTATTTTAAAAACTTGTTTTTAATAATAGAAATTATATTTGACAAATTGTGATTTTTTTCAATTCTTGCAATACAAAATTTGTAATTGGAGCTTGTTTTTTAATAACAAAAATTATATTATATACACAGAACAAAAGTTGTTATTTCTTAAATAAAAGTTGTAATTTGAGCTTGTTTTTTAATAAAAAAATTATACTTAACAAATTATAATTTTTTATTCAACTCTTGTGATTTACAAAATAAAAGTTATAATTCTTTAAACAAAAGTTGTGATTGAGTCTTGTTATTTTTAGTAAGGGTAAAATGATCTTTTTTCTAAAAAAAGTTATTCATAAAGAGGCTTCTAGGGACTTCATTAATGTTATGACATTTCGATAGATTAAATTATCATTTACATAATTCGAAGGGATTTTATTGTCATTTTTTCTTAAATAATTACCCTTTTGAATTTTTTTGGCCCCTTTTTTGGGATGCTAGCTAGTTTTTTTTTAATAGAAGGCCATAGAGACACCGTGCTAGATGACATATTGTGTTATGTTAGCATGCAAAAGATTTCTATACCCAAGTGGTGGAGACGTAGAGTGTCAAAAATGTGAACATTAAGATTGTCGATAGAAGCTTGATGTGTCAAGTTGGCCTTCTTATAAACGTGAACAAAGGTGACCGTCTAGTCTTTCATAACAAGATCTCTAATTTTGTTCATAGTTATAGTTAGAGGGTGATTTATAGAGAACTCGTTGCGTATTAATGTAAGAGCTTTTATAGAGTCAGAGTAAACATGAACCTTGTCAATCTTTTTAGCCCAACAAATGCTTAGTTCTTCCAAGATGCCCAGTTCAGCTCCCATACATGGGTGATACCAAAGATACTTGGAGAAGCTTTTGATCTAATTGCCATGTTTATCTCGTATGAATCCACTGTAGGAAGTAGCACCTTAATTATTGATTAAGCCATTTATATTAAGTTTAACCCATCCATCTTTAAAGCATAACTATTTAGCTTTTAATCTATTGCCCTATTTAGTCAGAAAGTTAATTTTTTATTGAATATATTGATCATTGAGGATATCTTGAATGTTGATAAATGCGATGTCTTTATCAGGATTATCTTCGGTGGAATAAATGTTTTTGCATCTATCTTTTCAGATGTTCCAACACATGTGGGCGAACAGTTTCTGCCAAGGGATCTTTCTTGAACAAACATTGCTTGCATCATAATCTACATTCCAAAGTATTTGTTCCTAAAGAGGGAGAGAAAAGAAAGGGTTAAGTTTAGATTGTTTAACTAATTTTATCTAAACCTTTCTAGAATTCTTGCAGTCTCTTAGGATATGAGTAGTTGAGTCTAAGGAGTTACAGCTAAAAGGGCATGGCCTAGGACAAGTATTGCCACTATTAGAGTAGGTGAATTTAAGTTGAAGACAATCCTAAGTCGCTTTTCAAAAAAAGGTCTTAATCTTCTCATATATTGGTCATTTCCAAATCTTAGAGTTGGGAATGTTGTAATGATTATTAATAGCCTTATAAGTAGATTTGATGGTGAAATTACCATCATTAGAAGGCCTCCAACAAATAATGTCATTATCAGCATTAGCATTAGGAGGTTGGACAATAATGATGTGATTAATCATGTAAGATATCTGCGTAATTGATTAACCTTCTAACTATTTGAAGTAGAATAAAAATCAGAGACTTTTGTATGAAAAAGAATCTGTTTTAGGAGATGTATATTTAACAAGGAATTTAAGAAGGAAACATCATTTATCATACTAAAAAGATATTTGATGTTCCTTCCTACCTTTTAGTCCACGTGATATATGAATTGATCCTAAATTTTGCATATACTTATCCACGGGTAAGAGCAAGAGTTGATATTTGAATTCGTGTTTTGCAGGTTACTGGCACTCTGAAGCAGTGTTTTCAGAACCGGACCGGACATTGAACCGGAAAAGTCAGCGGTTCACGGTTCGCATGGTTCAACCGGTTGGACCAATGGTCCAACCGGTGACGTAATAATTAAATTAAAAAAAATTATATATGTATATAATAATTTAAATATAAGAAATACATATGAAATTGCTATTTAACTTAAAAAACTTAAATATTTTAAGTTTATCACGACTTAACAAGCTATATGATACACTATAATATCAAATGATTAAAAAAATTAGTCATTTTTTTAAAAAAATTTGATAAAAAATAAAAAAAAAATTTTTTTGAACAGTCCGGTTTTTGAAAACCGGATCCGGTTCCCGGTCCGACCGCCGGTTCGAAACGGTTCAACCCGGCTCAACTCTGAAAACGATTTTTTTCTTTGAACCAGATCGGAAACCAGACCGGTCGACGGTCCGACCGGCCGGTCCGGTCCGATTTTCATAACAGTGCTATGAAGTAAACCACAAAAAGGCACGAAGTAACGGACACAGTTCCAAAAAAAAAAAAAAAACATCAACACTACTTTTACAGTAAAGCTAATGCACAGTTCAAAACATAACCCGCCGTCCGAAAATCCTTTGGTCTCTCTTCAGTCTCGCCCTAGCTGCACTCGCTTTTCTCACCGTCCATGCCGTATCTGCCTAGCTCATTATCGGCTTCCGCCTTCTCTGTACGCAGGTACTTCCATTCATCTGAGCTCCTTCCACCTTCAATCACTGTAGTTGTTCTCTCTCTCTCTCTCTCTCTCTCTCTCTCACGCGCGCCCGGGCGCCCGCGCGCGCACATTCGTTTTCTATGTTTACGTCAATTCTGTTCAAAATTCCTTGTTCTACGTTTCCCTGTTTACACTTTTGCTTATGCCTCTCAGTTTTGATGCTATGGCTTTACAGTGTGATCTGTAACATCGCCGTCTTTTGCCAATGATTTGGCTTCTGTTTTAAGTTTCTACTTCCTTTCTTTGTTTTTTTTTTTATGCAAGACTTTGTAAGAAGCGGCTTCACCTAGGGGAAAAAAAAAGTGGGACTGATTCTTTGATTTTGTGATTTTGTTTCGTTGGCGGCAGTTTTAAGTTTAAGTGCTTTTTCGTTACTATCTATACGGCTCTTGTTTTATATGTGATTTCTTTCTCAGATCAAATTTCCCCGGATCATTCCCTAATAGCTGTAAGTTAGCATTAACGACACTTGCCCACTTGAATTCAACCACTTTCGCGGACGACAGCCAACTCAGTTCTTGTGACGAAGCTGTATCATCCTCGTCTGATTGCTATAGGGATTCTCCTTCAGTACACAATTCCTTTGAGATAGATACGTTCAAGGTGGTTGAAACATTGAACTGTTTGCTAAGAGAGCCCGCCCTTGCATTGTCCTTCTTTCGTCAAGTGAAGGAACAAGGTTTCCAACATAATATCTCAACCTATGCGGCACTGATTAGAATTTTATGTTATTGGGGCTTGAGTAGGAAATTGGATTCTTTGTTTGTGGATCTCATTGCTCTTTCTAAAGAGTGTCCAGCTTTTGAAATTGAGGATTTGTTGGAAGAAGTGTTGGATGGTTTTGGGGTTGAAGGGAATCAGCACTTGCTCAGAGCTTTTAATGCATTAGTGAAAACATATGTCAGTGTTAACTTGTTTGATGAAGCTATCGATTTTTTCTTTAAAACTAGAAGACGTGGGATTATTCCACACATATTTACTTGCAACTTCCTCATAAATCGCTTGGTTAATCATGATAAGGTGGATATGGCCTTTGCCATATACAAGCAACTCAAAAGGCTAGGTTTAAGCCCAAATGAATATACATATACGATTGTAATCAAGGCACTATGTAAGAGAGGTAAATTGGAAGAAGCCGTTGATGTGATGCAAGAAATGGAGGAAGCTGGGATGCCTGTCGGTTCCTTTTGTTTTTCAACTTATATAGAAGGCTTATGCACCCATCATAGACCTGATTTGGGATATCAAGTGCTTCAAACATGGAGAAAGGCCTATGGCCCAATTGATATGTTTGCTTACACTTCTGTTGTTCGTGGATTTTGTAATGAAATGAAATTAGATGAAGCTGAGAGTGTTTTCCTTGACATGGAAAATCAAGGGTTGGTTCCTGATGTATTTTTTTATAGTGAATTGATTCGGGGATACTGCAAAAGTGGGAATCTGCAGAAAGCTTTAGCCCTGCATGATGACATGATTTCAAAGGGCATAAAAACAAATTGTGTGATTGTTAGCTGCCTCCTCCATGGCTTGTGTAAGGTGGGAAGGAATTTGGATGTGGTGGATCAATTTGAAGAATTTAAAAAATCTGGAATGTTTCTTGATGCAGTGGCCTACAATGTTGTGTTAGATGCCTTGTGTGAACTGGGAAAAGTAGATGATGCAAGAGAACTTTTAGAGTATATGAAACTTAGGAATATGGTTTTAGATATTAAACACTACACGACCGTTATTAGAGGGTACTGTCTACAGGGTAAATTGAGTCCTGCCTTTAACATGTTTGAAGAAATGAAGGAAAGGGGTTTAATGCCTGACATTGTAACTTATAATGTACTAGTTTCTGGATTGTCTAGAAATGGCCATGTTTATGAATCAATGCAACTTTTAGATTATATGGAGACTCAAGGAGTCGAGCCAAATTCTGTTACACACAAGATGATCGTTGAAGGCTTGTGTTCAGGAGGCAAGGTTGAAGAAGCTGAGGCTTTTTTGAACAGTCTAGAAGATAAAAGTGTTGAAATCTATTCTGCCATGATAGATGGATATTGTGAAGCAAACTTTCTCAAAGAAGCTTATGAACTCTATCTTAGGCTGTCAAACGAAGGAAATGTTGTAGAAAAAGATTCCTGTTTTAAGCTACTATGTAAACTATGTGACGAAGGTGACACTGATCGAGCTATAGGATTACTGAAGACACTGTTGTTATTGAATGTGGAACCTAGCAAAAATGTATTGCAAAGTTATAGCTGCCTTGTGCCAGGCTGGGAATATGAAAGTGGCCAATTCTTTGTTTGATATTTTTGTTGAGAGAGGATTTGCACCTGATGTTAAAACCTACACACTAATGATAAATAGTTATTGTAAGATAAATTGCTTACAAGAAGCCCATAATCTCTTCCGGGATATGCAGCATAGAGGGATCAAACCTGATGTCATCACCTATACAGTTTTACTTGATGGGCACTTGAAATCAAATTTAAGAAAGAAATCCTCCCTGGGTTGTAATAATAGCAAGACAGAGATGTTGGACGTTTCTACCATTTTGAGGGAGATGCAGAAGATGGAGACAAAACCAGATGTTGTTACTTACACTGTTTTGATTGATGGACACTTGAAGGCAAATAACCTTCAGGAAGCCATTATGTTCTTGTATGAAATGATTGTCGATGGGCTAGAGCCAGATACCGTGACATATATGGCTCTTGTTTCTGGCTTCTGTAATAGAGGGGACATGGATAAGCGTGTTATGCTTCTTAGTGAGATATTTTCTAATGGAGTTGCACTAGACCCACATATTATCTCAGCTTTGAAACGTGGCATTCTAAAAGCTAAAAAATTGAAATTCCATAAGTAAGTCCTTTTAGACTCACTATGTGGACAAAAGGTTGGATGGCAACTTGTGGCTTTTCTATCAGCAACAAATTGAGGAGGGAGAGCTTGCTGGAGTTTCTATCAAGTGCTTTGGAATGCCATCCTGTTTGAAAAGGCACTTTGGTTGGAGTGACTTTTTGAAGAGGAGGAGCTAGAGTTTTGCAAGTCTTTAACTCTTCGGCAGGAACACCTGGAGTCGCTGGTATGTACTCTTACACATTATAAAGAACAGTGAAATATGAGTTTTGACTATTGGATGCTGGAAGTATATGTGTAATATTAAAGGTTAAATAGAATAGACAATAAATTATACCTTGTCATCTTATCCCTTAAATTAATTGCATTATTCTGGTGTACTTTTGATTTGAATATATTGCCCTTAAGCTTTTTGCACATTATGCATTTGATAAACCCAAAATGTTGTGGGTGGATGGTTCAGTGCATGCCTGAGTTGTTACAATGCGTTTTAAGTAACTTTTGAAAATGCTATAATCAATTCCAGAAGAGGTTAATGAATATGTTTGCTTCGTTGCTTGAAACACTTATCCCATATGACAAAGCATTGCTGTATGGATAAAACTTAAAGTTTTGCAATCATTTATTCCAATAAAAACCCAACATGTGGAGGAACTTTAGTGGAAGATACAGTTATTGAGAAATTGATAGCAAATGCGTAGAGGTTGTGCTCTATGTTTTGTCCTTGTATGTGCTCTATAGATAGATATACAGGTATGGTGTGTTTGCTTCTAGGAGATATATGTACATATACACATGAAGTGATCCAATTTTCTTTTCTTTTTCTATTCTTTAAGGAAATATGAGAGTAAACATACACAAGTCTGGAAATAACTCTATTTTGGTTGGATCAAGCTTGCATGTTATATTTTTTGCATTTTTTAAAAAGTAGTGTTTTTTTTTTTAAAAAGACATCTATAACTGTTTGGTGCTACCTGATTCATGAGATTGGAATTGTGCAAGACCCTGAAATTGGTGATGATCTCATGCATTTTCAATCAATGTTTAGTACCATTGAATTCAAAATTTTGGTTTGAAAATAATTTAGGATCATCCTCTTTCCTTCATTGATTTGTTACTTTATTGCTGCTGGATGGCTTCTATTGAAGCCTTTCAAATGCTTGCTCATAAGGTCCCTGGTAAAGGATCTTGCAAAATGAAACAAGAAAAGATCTGAAGCAATTTCAAGAAGAATTGAAGATGGAGAACATAAAAGAGCTCCAATATCCTGTCCTGTTTGTGGACAAAATGATGGAGTCTGAAACTCATTGAGAGACACCCTGTCTTGTCATGGCCGTGTTGATCCATGGTATACTTCAGACCTTCGGGGCTAATAGTTTCTTAGCTCTTGCTATGGGCATACAAATTAAAATTTGCTCGAGTAGGAAAGCAAAGTATACTTTCATTTCATGATATATCAAATCAAAGTTTATTTTTGGGGGAAGAATTGACTAATGAGAACTGATTTTGAAAGGTTCTGTGTTGTAAAATTCAGCCTTTTGTCTGGAAATATGACTTGTGCCAGATAATATTATTTTTGTTTCAGATTTGGTTGGATGAAACCACTTTGGAAAGGACCGGAAGCAAGGTCTTGCCAAAATCACTTTGGAAATCATTTTTGAGTGTAAAACGGTAATTTTGGTATGCCCTGAATGTCAGAAGGCTTTTGGAGTTGGAAGTTTTATGCATCTTGGTGATTATATTTTATTTTTTTGCGAACACTCATAGAAGGATGTGGTTATGCAAATAATGGGTTGTATATGATTAAGCAGCCATTGAAAATAACTTCAAACATTAGAATTATTTTGAATCATTTGTATCATGGCTTGAGTAGCTTCCCCTCTTATTCTGACCCTTTTTTCACTTCTGATAATATGTTGATGCATTGTCTCTTTTTTCTTCCAGTGACTGAGGTCCTCACTGTTGAGAAGGATCTTCCTGGGGCTCGACACTCTTTCAGAGATGTCCTGTGAATCCTTATCATAGATGCTGAGGGCTATGCACTTAAGTCATATCTATTGGGAGAGAGGTTGTTTTACTCTTGGTTGGCCGTTGGTTTTTGATTAGGCAGAATTATGTTTAGAGTTGTCATTTTGCCTAAGACAACAGGGGTTATTTCCATATGGATGTGAGCCGCTGGGACTCAAGCTGCGGTATTCTATAGAATATATGGCACAGAAACAGAAAAGAAGAACTTTTCGGAAGTAAAACGATGTTATTCTCAAATTTTGATGTGCGTTACAGTGGAAGAAGGTGGACCTATTTATACTGTCAAGACTCTGAACGGAAGCAGAAGAGTGAATGGGGGTTACAGAGGTTACAAGAGTTACAGCAGACTTTTATTGGAAATGGAAACATTATTCTTGCAACGGACGTAGGTAACGGAGGCGTTGGCGGTGCTCTATTGTGGCCGCTAAAACGGTAGCTGCTGAATGGTGCTCCTATTCTGTTTCAATATACGACCAATGAATCTGATTCTCAATTGTCAATAGACCTTATAACATTTAATATTTTAATTATATTATGGGAGACTTGGGTGTAATTCTCCCTTTTGATTATCTTAATTTAACAAGTACTTGCACCCATTGTTTCTTTAAGCATAAGGATAAGTTTTGGATTCAGGAATACATGGGAGTAGTTATCGTACTGTGGAGTTCTTGGGTGTTACGAATTTTGTTTGTATGATTGTGTCGCGTCCGAATCATGATTTCCCGAAAAGGAAAGTTGATAAATGTAGGAGTCTTCATCAAAATTTTAAAGGATAATTTTGAAAACCTTTAAAAAAATAAAATGGTCTATAATAATTAGAGTGGGTTCGAGAGTCGGTTGTGTATGGGGAAGATATTAGGCATCCTACGATACTTGTTCATAAGAACGGTTATTTTAGGTTGATTGTATAAAATTAATTGGCCTTTTAATAATATCTTAGTTATCTTTTATTTCACGGAAAAAATAAAGATAAAAAATAAAGAAAATAAATTATTTATTTATATGAAAGGATTTGATCTAGGATCAAAGCCTAGGACCTACGTATCTTGTAATGGAAATCAAAGTCCACGCAGTTCGAAATATTATCATTTAGGTTTTTTTTTTAATTTTTTATTAATTTATTTGTGAAGAGAAGATTATTGTGTTATATAATTATATTTATAAAAAAATATCATGAGGAAGTACCTTTGGATAAAAGGAAAATAATCAGTATTGGAACTTGCGGTGATTTAGTATCACTCGCAGTTTGTTAGTTGATACTCTAAGGGCACATGGTGATTTAGTATCTCTCATGACAAACCATGCAGGAAATTTCTAAGTAAAAAAAAAATTCTATGAAATGGTTTAATTATTAAATTTCGGAATGAAATTTGATAACTATGATGACTTAGTATCATTTACTGTATTTTCTTTTGATATTTTAGGGATCCAAGGTGATTTAGTATCACTCATGGCATAACTTAAAATATGCTAAGAGTTTTATTATTTTCATTATTTTTAACAATGCACAAGGAGAGGAAAAAGTAACTAGTATTGATCCTGCAGTGATTTAATATCACTCACAGTCCGTCGGTTGACGCTCTAAGTGCACACGGTGATTTAATATCACTCATGACAAACCTAAAGGAATTTTCAAAATGAAGAAAATAATTTAATTTTAAAAAATACAAAGTTTGATACCAATGATGACTTAATGTCACTCACGATATCTTATTTGATATTTCTCTTGATCCACGGTGATTTAGTATCACTGGTGGATCCAAAAAAAAAATGCCAATAAATTTTAATATTTTTCAAAATTTTTGAAACTTGATTATCAAAAAGACTATGTAATAAACTATAATAACATTATTCTCACAACTTTTATCAAATAAAAAAAACTAATAATAATAATAATAATAATAAGAAAAATGAAGAATCAACGTCATGTTGGTTTATAGTACTTTCTTATATATAAATTGATGATTCTAGGAGTCTAGGTACCATACCATTTTAGGACAAGCTCACGGTGAAAGATCTACGGTGATTTGAATTAATAACCAAACAAAACAAAAGAAAAACAATAAACTATGAAGAGTCAATTTGAAGCAAAGCCAAGAACGTGTATAAGGAACTAAGCTTTAGAATACTAGATGCTAACATTAGGTAAAAAGCAAATATGTGAAGTTTAGGAATAAGGAGCCCACAAATCAACGGCTGTACGTGCATAGGGGAAAAGTTTCAATAGGGTTTAAATATTGACTCAAGAAGGTTTAGTTTTTCCCATTAAACAAGCAAAGCTAGAGAAATGAAAAAGAAACATTCACCTTCAACACTTTGCCTAATGCTCTCTACCATCTCCTCCCAGCTTTCCTTTCTTTTTTTCTCTCCTCAAATCTCTTATCTGTTCCCTCCTCCTTTTCTCCTTCACAGCTATCTCCTTTTATAGGTGCTAATTAGGGTTCTCTTATTTAATGATATATCAAACCAAAAAAGGCAATTTTTTATTTTGAATCTTTTTTATTATTTTAGATTTCAGATTTTTTTAATTAATTAAAAACAAATCCTAGTCAAGGCATAATTTTCTCAAATCAGATTTCAAATATTCTAAATTTTTTTTTAAAAAAAGTCAACTTTAATGGGAACATAATTAAGGAAATTTGGGGTAAAAAATATTATTATTATTATTATCACAAAAGCTCCTCCTTTTTTATTCCTTTTATTTTTTATTTTATTTATTATGTTTTTATTAATTTTTAATTTACACTTAAAAGTATGAATAAAATATAGTATTTACAAATTGTATGTTGCTTTCCTTACATTTTATAAAGTGGCCGCTCGTATAATTCGGAAGTTACAATTTGTTCTTGTTTTGCTGTGGGCTGCCTGCCTTACATTTCAAAGTTGGAACATTTCATTGAGCAAACATGAATTGATTATTATATTGCTTGGTTTTACCGTAGTTTTTTTTTATATATAATTATCTGACTATGTCAGATTTAAGTATTATTAGGTTCAATTGAAAATAGCTTTAATAAAGTTTATAATTGTGTCAAATTCGAGTATTGCAGAGTTCAATTGAAAGTAACCTTAATAAAACTTATTGACATTTTATTGTGGTTGATGAAATAGATGACTAATGTTGCATGGACAAGTTTTTGGGGAGAAATTTGTGTTCCTGATACAATCATGACAGTGGATATTGATTACCTTCTTTCATCAAAGTAAAATTAAATTTGGTAATCACTTTTGACATTTTTGTATAAATTAAATATGTTACATGATTGTGTAAATTTCATCAGCGATATGTTCCTTAATCTTATTTAGTTGCAACTTGCAAATTTCTTTGTTGGGGTAATTTGCTAGCAACAACTCAAAAAGAGACCCAAAATAAGATGTGTCTTTACTTCTTGCCTGGTGGATAAGCTCCCCCTGATATTTTCATTGAGGGCTCCATTCATTAGTTTCATTTTCTTCTTATTACTCTATTGAAAAAAAAAAAATCATACGTGTATTTGATAGAACTAAAAAGTTTATATTCATTTTGCATGAAGATTAAAGGAAAAATACAGTTGTTGGTCTCTATATTCTTAGCATATTTTGATATTAGTTCCCATACCTTTTTTTGGTTACTCCAATTCTTATAAATTTTATTTCTTTGCAATGTTAATTTTTATTGTCATTGATGAAGTTAATTTTGTTAATGTGTACATAATTCTATTAAATTTATTCTCGACTTGGTAAAATTACCGATAAGTTAGATATTATATAATAAAATTAATGATTAATCTTTTTGTCTGTTTTAGTTGTCATGTCTTCTTCTTCTTCTTTTTGAAGCTTCATACATTGTATGTTAAAAGATTCAAATTTGATGTCTTGGTTCTGAAGTAATTGGGCTTGTGCATATATTAATCACCATTAAGTTTTTATGGTTATATTTAAAAATATAGATATTAATATTATAGGTAGACTAAACTTAAGGGATTTGGAATAATGAACCAAAGTGTAAAGACAAACACCAAAGTATGTCAAAAATAAATGGATAATAGTTGTATTTTCCCAAAATTAAATTATTAGAGACTGGAGATTTGGAGGCAATCAAGAGAGCATGACAAAGCAAATGACAAGTTTAAGGAGTTTGATGATTCTTTGGATCTAATTGATTGAAAGGTAATGTTTGATTTCAGATTATACAGTTCAAATTTTTGCAAATGTTGTATAAAGTTGACGTGAATATAATGTAAAAAAAATGAAGTTACTCTCATGGATTGAACATAAAAGCTTTGATTATTATTTTTTTGGGGAAAAATAAATTCACGGAGAAAAACTGTATTTTATTAACATACTAACATGATTTGTAAGTAATGCTTTCATTTAATTTAACCATTAAATAATAAGAAATTAAGCTAAAATTGATCTACATATCTTTTCTTTAATAAATACTATAGCATAAAGATCTAGGTTAGAATGCACTTTTAGTCCTATAATTTTACAATTTAGTCTCTTAATTTTATAAAATATCTTTTTAGTTTTCTAACTATAATACAATTAATTTTTAAATTTGGTGTCAAATCATTATTGTTTTTTAAAAAAATTAAACTTCATATATTACTATTTGATAATATATTGTCAATATTTAAAAATTAAATGTAGGAATTTTTTGTAAAACAAACTAAATGTATCAATATTAAAAGACTAAAAAAGACATTTTATAAAATTATTTACTTATTTAAATTTTATGTAAAGTTAAAAGTTGAAAAAATGACAGAAAATTTATTTAAATTATGTAATAATAAATTGATCTCATGAAATAGTATATTTTCTTGGAATTCCCATACAGTTTTTTTGTTACGAGGGAATTAAAGGAAATGACCAAATTGCAATTAAATAAAACAAAAATTTTTAGAGTTGCGAATAACTATTGAATTATTACGAATTTAAAAAACAAAAGTTATTATATAGGAATAAAAGTTGTGAATGAAAAGTTACAAATTTTTAACACTTGATGTATATTAAGACCTACATATGCAGAATTGCGAATGACTATTAAATAATTGCGAATTAGAAATAAAAGTTGTAAATAAAAAGTTTTGAATTTTTAACATCTGATATATTAAGACCTGCAGATGTGAAAATTGTGAATGACTATTGAATTGTTGCGAATTTAAAAATAAAAGTTGTTAACATATGAACAAAAATGTAAATAAAATGTTGCAAATTTTTAACACCTGATATACCAAAACCTACAAATAGCTGTTAAATTGTTGCGACTTGTGAATTTTTTTAATATGAATAAAGGATAAAATTGTCCCTTTCTTATAATTTTTTAATGACAGAAAGATCTCTTGGAACTTCAAAAAAATTATACCATTTCGTGGGATCAATATGTCATTCATATAATTTAAATGAAATTTTTTTCATTTTTCTTAAAAAGTTAAATATATTTATTTTAATCTAAAAAATTAACATTACAGGTTTCCGCTTTTGGCCATTTGCATTACTCATGAGTCATGCGTCTCACACTTCCCCTCAAAGAAACGTATCATAGCTTCTACCGTTCAAATTTTCCAATTATTTTATTACTTTCTTATAAAATATAAAAATATTTTTTGAAAGAAAAGATATAATTTATAAAATTCACATATTCCCCATGTTATCAACTCTCAAGTATCTGTAATC